AATCCTCAGACCAGCCATATGAGAAGAGTGTAAAGAATTTTTGGCCATTACAAGATTAGTTTAGTATTTCATATTCTTATGAAAGAATCTGTTATTTCACTTCCAGTTACCTAGTCTTGTTTCTCACATACTGGACAGCAATCCCTCTTTCCAGGGACTAAATAAGGTTCACGTGTTCAGAAAAGAATCCCAGTTGGACTGGCTCAAAAAAACAGACTCAAAATGGAATTAAGAGAGAAACCAGCTCATTTCTTATAATTTTAGAAACAAAGAATTACACAAAGGGAGGTCAGTATTTTCACGCTAAACTACTGAAGTCCTGGGAAGCCCACTGTGTAGACTTACACGCATTTTTGCTAGCGTTGTCCATAGCGGTCATCCTAGCACTCTGCTCGCTGGTGGTGGATTCTTTCAGGGAGTAGTACAGAATATTTGCTAGTGTAAATTCCTGGTAGTTTCTCAGCACATCAGCATCAATATCATCATAGATACTTAGGCTTTCTGTAAAATGTGAAAGAGCAGACATGGAGAAATCCAAGATATACTACTTCTAGCAAAACAACACAATGCCATGCGAAAGACTGCTAGGCTAGCCGGTTTCTCTACTGAAGGCAGCGCAGAGGGATTTTGTCTATGCACTATGCGTACTTTCTTAACAAAATTTTAAGTAGCAGAGAGATTTAAGTATTTTATGTGTTTTCATTCAATTTAATACTAGGAAAGTCAGATTCTGACGAAGGCCAAATACATTATCGGTGTATTATGTTTCATCTTCCCATACGATGTTGCAGAAGCATTCTGGGATATTTGTACTGAGTAGTGCAAAGTCCCTCAATGCCCAGGCCGTTCGGTGCTGAAAACACTCAAACTGACAGAGTTTGGCATATGCACAATTCTTGCTTGAGAGCGAATCTCAAACCAAAATTAGTATGACCTTTCTTTTTAACCTCCCTGCCCCACAGCACCTTCACAGGGCAGCCTTGGACTGCCAAGATAAAACAACCTGGTAAACTTGTGACACGTGTAGCATAACAGCATAATAAGGAGTTTTAATACCATATTCCCATGCTCAGAGTACTTTTTCTGTGATTTATCGCTTCACATAACTGTTTTCTAGTTCACTACTTACCAGAACCAGCAACTGTTTCAAGGGAGAAGATTGGTTTTTCATCGGTCTTGTAGGAGATCACAGACCTGTATAAAACCAGCGTAATAGGCTCACTTCAGTTCAACTAAATTGACTGTTTAAAATCAAATTAGAATAGACAACTTCTGGCCTTCCAATTCCACAAAGTTCTGCGATAATACTGATGAAGACATCTCAGATACCAGGTGGATATAATGATGTGCTGACTGTAAGTATAAACAGCACCCGCTATACAAGTAAAAAGAGAATTCCAACCACAGCTATTAAAAAAAAAAACAACCAACAATGGCTCTTCACACGCGACAAAATGCACTCCCTCCTCAAGCAATAACGTAAATGTGACAACTCAATCAGTTTTCATATTACTTCATCGGGCCAACGTGCTGTTTGAAGCCTTCTACCCAATATTTTTCCAGCGCAGTTTCAGTTTAATCTTACCTGAACCGATTGTAGATGACAGAGCCTTCATCAAATTCATACCCAGAGTTCAACAACTCCGAGGCGATGATGGAAGCATCTCCAAAGCTCGGAGGTCTCCGTCCCACTTCTTTGAATGTCAGGAGGAAGTAATTGCTATGTGTCCTGCAGTAACATCGACTCTGTGTTAGAACCAAGCGGATGCTCTAATGTACAACTACGTGGCAGCAAGACTTACTTACTAGTGCAACTTACTAGTGTCCAGAACTAGGCATTTCACTGAATTAGGGTCTGAGAGAAATTTTGCTTTTTTTTAGTTGAATTATTATGATAGCTTCAATGATAAACACACACGTGTAACAGCGCCAGTGTTGCTAGCTTTCAGACTTTTATTTCAAAAATATAATAGTGGTGTGCAGCAGTTTCATGAATGTCTGGATGATCAAAACCCCTTTTAGCATATTTGCAGATTTTTTTTTTTAAAGGGGCTTGAATTTCACACAGTTCCATTAAACGCAATTGCCTGTGGATGCCACACAGCTTTCTGAGCAGTCTTGAAATTTCTACCGCAGAAAACAAACAAAACCACCAAACCAAACCCTTCTCCTTTTTACCTCTGAAGCAGGCTTCTGATCTTGTCACCTACTCCAACCACCATAACTTCTTTCCCTGCGTTTGAGAGGTTGGTGATCTCGTTCTTCAAGGTTTTAGCAATAGACGTGTGGATAGCACCACACAGACCTCGGTCAGAGGACACACCAATAAGGAGGTGCTTCTTCTTGTCCTCAGGTGCCTTTATTTCTGCTTTCTCATAGAGAGCTAAAAAAAAAGATGGGTAAGTTTTTCAAGGGTGCCAGGAAGCAAATAGGTAATTTCAAAATACCTTGGACTTATTCTAACTAAAGCTATTTCTAAAGGGGCTCCAAATCTCAGCCAGATTAATTTTCTCTCCCTCATAATCATTCAAGTTTGCAGGTGATCTGACCAGAGGTGACAAAGAAACAACTCAAAGCCAGCCAGATCTCTGCACTGGAGATCACCCAATCAGTGTCATTACTTAGTTAAGTTCACTGTGCGAGCCCACTGCCTCAGGAGCTCGTGCAGCCCAAGAGCTCACAAGGAGGTCTGGCAGTAGCCGTAGATGCTACAGGACAGGACGCAATTCCATTAACAGATAGAAGCAGGCCAGAAATTCTGAGCTGGGGTGCTTTTACGACTAACAAAAACAACCATGCAGCCACATACAGTTAAAAAAAGTAATGAGAAATCATAATGAACGTCACATTAGAACTCTTAAAAATGGCTACCTGCAAATAACTTATAAGGAATGCTCAAGGTGACAGTGACCTAGAGTTATAAATTCTTTTGGAAAAAATCTACCAAAAGGTTAAAAATGTCTAAGCATTTTATCACCACCATGAAAGCCTTCCTCTTCTGTTCCCACATCGCACAGTGCAAGAGTCTTCTCTCACCCAGTGCTCCTGTTCCATAGACCCTAGCAGGCTTCAGCTCCCTCTCAGCTCTTGCATATTTTGCTGCGGAAACCATCTTCATGGACTTTGTAATTTTCTGAATGTTCTTGATGGACTTCAAGCGCCTGGTAACTATAAGGTTAATAGTTGAAGGTCATGGGCTGTACTGGGCATAATGACATCAAAAACAAGCAATAAAATGCTAGCAACCACTATCCAAAAACATCTTGCCAAGTTCCTCAAAGAAGAAACAAAATAAACAAACAACGCACAAATAAACCTCATAAAAGACATGCCCTTAGTACTTACAGTAAGAAAGCAGTAAGAGTAGTAATCTGGCTAACCCAAACGCGTCTTTTCCCCCAGACATAACATTCATTTAACATTTAGCCCAACATAAGCTCTATTTACTATTCTCTTTCCTTCCACTTCTACCTGTTTCACAAATGTATCATCTGAGGCATACTGTCACCTTTTCCTAGATGGCAAGGGGGGCAAACAAACAAACCAAAAAGACTCCATACTATAAAGAGACAGAATAAACTTCCTGGTCTGTTTTGTTTGTGGCAAAATGAGATTTATAAAAACATTGATGCAAAAAGAAAACAAAACAGGTGTCCTATAGACAAGCACAATTCCAAGGCAATATCCCTGTATAAGAACCTACAAGGAACGGCTTAAAGAAGCATTATCAAAGTGAAACCATTCAGCCAACCTTTTATCCCCCAATGTTGAATAAATGCCCAGGGAAATAAACATAACAGAAAATAAATTCATTCTTAAGGGTGAGCAAAAATCTGTTTTAGCACACATGATAAAGTTATTTTTAAAATACGTTTGAGTAAAACTATATTGGTTTGCTGAGATGACATCTAAATTAGCGCTGAAAACATTTTAAGCAATGCCTTTTCCGAAGGACACTTGTTTCACATAACAAGTGCTAAAAGCTCACGTATCAATGTTACAGTGTATCACAATTAGTTTATCCGACACACGCTACCCAAAATTATATCTTAACGTATGTTTTTCCTGCAACACTTTCCCTCTCTCCAAGGCAAACAAAAGCAGTACTTACTGTCTTTCAGAGTTGCCATATTCCTGACTTGGCCCCTGAAAACGAATGCAGAAGAAATGAGGATAGTTCACCAGCTCTCCAGCAAACCAACGCCCATCAAGGGCACATCCCTTTCAGAGGGGTGAAAATTTAAGAACTGTTGTTCCTTAAAAAGAATTTGTAACAGGGACAAGCCACTCTAACCCAAGCCTTGTATGCATACCTTCCATCCTTCCCCACATCTCCTAGATCACTTAATCCATTGCCTTGGATAATGGCACAATGCAAATGAGGGCCAGACAACAGGGCATCAGAAAGGTACAACTTTCAAAAACCGGAGCTGTTTTTTTTTAAAATGATTAAAACGAAGCAGAAGAGGCTAAACCATTTCCTGACAAGAGCAGAGTCTCCTTGCACGCCCTGTCACCTACGAAGCTCTCCTTTTGAGCCCTCCTGCCTCGCCCATTCACCCCCCGGCCGTC